GAGAGAGAGATGATGATGTTGATGATGACCTGTCTGTGATGGTTCTAGTTTTAGAGGTTGACTTGAATGAGTGTAAACTTTGTGTGACCGCGGTATTAAGCTCAAACTTGAACTAAATAGCGATGGGCACAAAAAAGTTACACCAACTTCAAACGAGGCCTTAGATGTTTCGTCTCGGGAGACCATGTGCGTGACTAGATGACTTGATAATGTACATAGTAAAGAGACGAGAAAATCGATAATGTGGCTGAAAAACCAGAGTCAAACCAAATCGATCTGTGCGGGGGATGCATTGTGAAACGTTTTTACAATTCCAAGATGAAATTTTAACCAAAGCAAATTTAATGATTGCAAAGTGAACCCTAAGACAGGTTTTTTTTTAGGAGAGGGGGAGGGGGTAATATGGACTTCTCTTCTCTCAAAGTAAGGAGAAGAAGTGAAAAATCATTCACCTGGTTGTTGGCCCTACCTAATGGCGAACTCTTGCTCACGCAACCTTACAAAAAAAATACTCTTGTTCATGCGGATTGCGATGCCACGATCGTCCTTCATCACATGTCAACTTGAAATTTGAGGTTATACTCGTAAGCTCGTAATAAAGTGGCAAGTGATTTTCCCTTATAAAAAACTTGAAATTTGAGGTTTTCATATCAGAGCGCAAATTCTAGACAGCTGAAATTTTGGCGAGTACTAAACTTTTAGTTGAAAATTCGGGCTGGATTCAAATTCGATCCAAATTTGCTTAAATTCGTCTAAATTCAATGAATTTTGCAAGGAACAATAATATTTGAGAACTCCATTTTTTTCGATTCCAGGAGATCGAAATATCGTTGGTACCGAAAACTTAAACCATTGTTCAGATCCTTGGATCCGTGGTTAACCGAGCCTAAACTGCGATGACCGAGATCCAAACCTACAAGCTGTAGAAAATAACGAACATGCTGCAGCTGTACAAGGAGACGCTGCTCGCGGGAGCACATCGTGCACATGTCCCGCTGCCGTCGCCGCGAATGGCTGCTCTTGTACGTGCGCAGTACACACTTTGGTATGTACTCCTACATTATAAACAAGGGATGGGACAACGTGAGATGTTCATCGAAACCCAAAGATCCATGAGATCGGTGGAAATGCCAATGAAGCCGAGAAGCCAAACGGCGCACGGGACATGAGAAAAGACTACGTGCCACTTGGGCTGCCGGTGTCGACACGCCACACATGCCACGGTCGAGTCACTGGTTCATGGGGCTCACGTACGTACTCTACCTCCCCACACCAACCGCCGCCGCCTACTTGTACCAAGCGCGCATCGCCGAGGAGCCGCGTCGCAGTATCGATCGATCAGCACGTAAGTCCGTCGGGGGTGATCGACCAAACAATGGCCGCCCCGCCTCTGCCGAGCGCGTACATGCCCGACCTGCCGGCGGTGCCGGAGTGGCTGAACAAGGGCGACAACGCCTGGCAGCTGACGGCGGCGACGTTCGTGGGCATCCAGTCCATGCCGGGGCTGGTGGTGCTCTACGGCAGCATCGTCAAGAAGAAGTGGGCCGTCAACTCGGCCTTCATGGCGCTCTACGCCTACGCCTCCACGCTCATCGTCTGGGTGCTGCTCGCGTTCCGCATGGCCTTCGGCGACCGCCTCCTCCCGTTCTGGGGCAAGGCCGGCCCGGCGCTGACGGGGGACTTCCTCGTGGCGCGCGCGTCCTTCCCGGCCACGGCGCACTACGGCGCGGGCGGCGCGCTCGAGGTGGCCCCCACGCAGCCCTACTACCCGGAGGCCACGCTGGTGCTGTTCCAGTTCCAGCTCGCCGCCATCACGCTCGTGCTGCTCGCCGGCGCGCTGCTGGGCCGCATGAACATCAAGGCGTGGATGGCCTTCACGCCGCTCTGGCTCCTCCTCTCCTACACCGTCTGCGCCTTCAGCCTCTGGGGCGGCGGCTTCCTCTACCACTGGGGCGTCATCGACTACTCCGGCGGCTACGTCATCCACGTCTCCTCCGGCGTCGCCGGCTTCACCGCTGCCTACTGGGTACGTTACCACGGGTCCGGTTTGCCTTTCCGGCAGTCGTGGTGGACATTTCTGAATTTTCCGTGATACGCCGCGTTCGTTTCTGGCAGGTGGGGCCGAGGCTGAAGAGTGACAGGGAGAGATTCGCGCCCAACAACATCCTGCTCATGATCGCCGGCGGCGGGCTGCTGTGGCTGGGCTGGGCCGGGTTCAACGGCGGCGCGCCGTACGCCCCGAACATCATCGCGTCCATGGCGGTGCTCAACACCAACGTCAGCGCCGCGGCGAGCCTGCTCACGTGGACCTGCCTGGACGTCATCTTCTTCGGCAAGCCGTCCGTGATCGGCGCCGTGCAGGGCATGATGACGGGCCTCGTCTGCATCACCGCCGGCGCAGGTTCCGAATCCACATTCTCTAAACTGCACTAGAATTTTAGTGTTGTACTGCACAAGTTTATTTTGCGTTTTGCTCAGTGTGCTTCGTCCTTTGTGTTGCATTTGCATGGCGGCTTGCAGGGCTGGTGCACACGTGGGCGGCGGTGCTGATGGGCATCTGCGCCGGCAGCGTGCCGTGGTTCACCATGATGGTCCTCCACAAGCGGTCCGCCCTCCTCCAGAAGGTGGACGACACCCTCGCCGTGTTCCACACCCACGCCGTCGCCGGGCTCCTCGGCGGCGTCCTCACGGGGCTCCTCGCCACCCCGGAGCTCACCACCCTGCACACCCACGTCCCCGGCACGCGCGGCGCCTTCTACGGCGGCGGCGTCCAGCAGGTGGGCAAGCAGCTGGCCGCGGCGCTCTTCGTTGTCGTGTGGAACGTCGTGGTCACCACCGGCATCATCCTCGCCGTGGGCCTCGTCATCCCGCTGCGGATGCCCGACGAGCAGCTCAGGATCGGCGACGACGCGGCGCACGGCGAGGAGGCCTACGCGCTGTGGGGAGACGGCGAGCGGTTCGACGTGTCCCGCCGCGCGGCAGCGAGGGCCACCGAGGTCGGCGACCAGTCGGTCGACCAGCGTCTGGCAGCCATGGGAGCTAGAGGCATCACCGTTCAGTTGTAGTAGAAGCTGGTGCCCGTTGTTCTTTCTTCAAGGGCAGTTGTAGTAGAACTGTAGAAGCTGGTGACTAGGCAACACAGAAGGGATATTCGTAGTTCAATCTTTTGCCAATTTCAGAAGGGATATTTGTAATTTCCTACAATATGCAACGGAGTTTTTAGTTTTTACATGGGCTCTGCTCTTCGCTCTGCCAATTCAGTTTTTGCCCTTCTTTCTAGATTAAATGCAGTTATACATCTCAAGCATGGAATGCCTTCGGTTCAGCAATCATGGCGTTAGCAGAACCAGTTTACTAGCTAGCACGCCCCATGGCAAGAACATTGTGAAACTTGAAAGCATAACGATTTTGCAGAGCAATTCACCAGCATCATCTGGCAACAATCTCACAGGCAGTGGAGTGGCAAGAGGCATCATACTTCATACATGTACACAGTAGCTTTCGTCGCAAGTTACATAATAATACATCGAGAATGCACATTCTCATGCTAGTCGAACTGCTCCCAGTCAGTGTCGTTTTGTGTGGAAGAAAATCGGGCCGGCGGAGCAGTCAAGCTGCCCATGCCGTTTTCGAACGTCTCCCACTCGGTCGACACCGAAACAGATTTGGCGCTATCACTGAAAGGGTTTGCGTTCCTTGCCTTCAGCTTGTCCAGGGTCTCCACAAGATTCTGAACTCGGCGCACCTGGGAGTTTCAACACAGCATTGTATAAGTATCATTTATGCAAAGGTTGGTCTTTATTTAAAAAATGCAAAGGTTGGGATGTACTCCCTCCGTTCCAAAATACTACTTTGTGGTTTGAACTAAAACCACGACAAGTATTTTGGAACAGAGGAAGTGTTATTTTTTCTATTATTATAAATGGACAGGGATTTTATTCATAGTGACAAACCCCATTTGCAAATTATCCGACCAATATGTCATTCAATTATATCACAAGACAAAATCAGGACTACGTAAAGCTGAAAAATCAACATTGTGTTGGCCCAGTGTCACTATTCATCTTGCAGTACACATGAAGTATAATGTCCTCAATGAAATATTTTACTTGAATTTTGTAAGTTACATCTGCAGATGATTATGCCAATCTTATTCATCCAGGATATACAGCAGAAAAAAAGGGAGGAAACTGCACATATTTTATACTTTATAAACGAACACAACTTGAGAAAATAAACCCGAGGGATTATCCGACATGGGGCAAAGATTTTTCTGCCTAAGCTGAGTTTAGCAGCTAAATTCGGACGACACAGCCCGGTTAACCTAGGACTTTGATGTGAGTCTCTCTTCCACAAGAAGTAACCGAACAAGATTAAACTAATGGAAATGATTTTTGAGAGCTACAAACTTGAGCCTGAACGGACCGTTATTACACAATCGGAGTACTGTGTTACTGTAATAACCGAGCAAGACAGACACGAGCATGGCCCTTAACCCAAAATGTAATTATAAGAGTTACATGAAATGTCCTATAAGAGTCACTGCTAGGTGAGAGCAGTGAAAGACTGATTCAACACAACAGAGAAACTACTGGATAAACCATCAGGAAATAATTGTGCAGGGTTATTAGCATCTATTGGATAACTATCATAAATGAATTAAAAATTATGCAATAGTCCTCTTTGTTTTGAACAAACTTTTGAGCAAGAACATGTCCTGGCTAATGGGTGACATAAATAATCTATTTTGTCTTGAACAACAAATGTTTTAGTTTCTGTACGTGTTGCAATAAAGTATGTAATCGGATAACTGATGATTAATCTGGTTCGGAAAGTAACAGCAAGGAAGTGTACCTCGGCCTTCCTTTGTGCCCTTGCTTCTCCCTCTGCCTCTATGCCATCGAGTTTCAGCAGCTGCACCATAAGCAGCTCCGTCAAGACAACAAATTCTTTATCCTCGACCTTCTTCCCTGCAAGGACACTCTTCTCCAACTCACACACCTGTTACAGAACATAAAAAAATTAAACGCATCAGTACAGTTGTGTGAGCAGCACAAATATCTTACTCCCTCCGTCCCACAATGCAAGACGACTATGGGATGGAGGGAGTACAAACCAGGTGCGGCAAGTATTGTTCCTTAACCTTAGCAGAGAGCTTGTCAACTTCAGATCTGACACGAACAACAGCCTCACAAGCCCTCATCATGCTCTCATCCATCATCACTGGCTCGACCTTCTGTTCCACATTGGCAGGGACATGTTTCTCAAGCAGAAGCAATTTTGCTCCATCCTTGGCGCCTGATGCGTGCAGGAATTCATCGTCCCTCTTCTCCTTACCACGGAAAAAGAGCCTCTGTCTCTCAGGCTCCAGGCCAGTAGTCTGGGTGAGGATCCTCTTCAGTTCACCTTCACACAAATCATAAATCAGTTTCAACTACCTCGTGTTCGTGAAATTGAGGTCCTCCAAGCAAGGAGATATAGGATGTTACTCCAACAACTCGATCCAAACTTTCTTTCAGAAGTTAAACTCAGTGCAGATGCACCACCAAAGTTAAACTTCTTCGGGATGGGTTAGAGGCTTAGATAAGTAATTCATATAACATCCTTTGATGAGCAGTAACCAATCCCTTTCGACCGGAACACTACTGTAATAATGCGACAGTACAACCATAATTAATTGTAGGCCTGATGTTGAACGAATGGGAACAATTATTCTGATAAGGATTTTTGTATGAAGGTCAAACAAGACATCTACAAATGTAAGTCTACCTGTCACAGTACAACAACGCAAAGTTAATACTTCTAGTTGAATAGCAGGCACATGATACATAGGCCACCTACTGGTGCTTATAATGTTTTTAATCTAGGTTTGTTTAGTCACCCAATTTGATTTTGTTGTTAATCTAGGCTTGTTTATATAGTCATCCAATTGGATTCTGTTCTTAATCTAGGCTTGCTCAGTCACCCAATTCGATCCATAGGAAGCAGGAATTATGTGATTTACATGCACATACTACTTGACAAAATCCGCAGTTGACCAGCCAAGATCTAAGCTCAACGCAGCTAAACAACACGCCATCTGCCGACTTAGTAACTCCGGGGAAACGACAAGCACTCGCTGAGCGAGCACCGCAGCAAAGACCACATCTCAAATCGGAACTGATCACAGACAAATCGGAACAGAGCATTACGTTTCATCTCATCATTACAATACATACAACAGGACAAATTGCAAAGGATAAGGGCGTCGGATCAAATAAGAAGAAGAGGCTCCGTACCGAAGGTGGCCTGCGCCGGCACGAAGACGTCGCGCAGGGCGGGGCCGTGGGACACCCTGAGCCTGACGGTGGGGCCCTCCTCGCCGTCCCTGCGCTGCACGAACATCCCGCCCGGCCGGACCTCCGACTCGCCGTCGGCCTCCTTCGCGCGCGATCTGCTGCCGCCGCCCATCGCCGCCTCCTCTTTTATGGGCCTCTCGGTTCCTTTCGGTTGCGCGGAGAAAGGCGAAAGCGACGCGCGGGGCGGAGGGGGTTGGTGGCGCGTGGCTTTTGCGGAGGGTGGGAGGCCGGCCTCGCCCGCCAGCGGTCGGGTCGCGGGTGGGTTCCTTCCCTCCCGGAGAAGCAAGGGGAAGGGGCGAGGAGGAGGGTGGGGAGACGGCGGATGGGGGGAGGTGGAGGGGAAGCAAGGTTTCGGCGAAGGAAGGAAGGCTAGGCTTGTGCGTTTTTGCGTTGGCCAAGTACAGCTTTGGATCCTCGTGACGCCACCGGGTGGGGGGCGGTGGGGGAGGCTACTGGCTCCGCCTGGATTTGGTTGGCCCGTACGCGCCTGCGCTGCCGCCTCGTGGGGGCCTCGACGGCTTGGATATGGCAAAGCCATGATGAGTCGAAGAATTTGCATCTTGTGGGATCCGGTCCATGGTTGTCTTCCGTGAATTCACTTGGACCGATTCGCTCGCCGCACTCGTGTGTCTTCAGGTTGAATCCTTTTAATCTACGTTGTTTTTATCGATGACGGTTGTTGTTCTCGTGTCGTATTAATAAATATCATGGTTTTACACTTAAGTCAGTGGCTGAGACATCCAATCTCTAGATCAATGCTTAGCATGAATTTCTCTAATCCATGCTCCCTCCATTCCAAAATATAGTGTGCCCGCGCTTTTCGAGGTCGAACTTTGACCATAAATTTAACGAACGAGACTGACTGCAACGGGAGAAAAAGTTACATAATTAAAAATTTCTTTCGAATACGAATTCACTGATATAACTTTTGCTCCCGCCGCAATCGGTCTTGGTAGTTAAATTTACGGTTAAAGTTGAAGCACGGGGATAGAGAAAGCACTACATTATGAAATGGAGAGAGTATATCTAGTTTCCATCTAAGACTGCAGACAACAGTGATCTAGAGCACCAAGCTGAACTATCTGACGTTTTTATTTCGGAAAACATTCAATCTATTCATCAACTATTAAGATAGTAAAAAACACCAGAACTAAAAAATACATACATATTCGTGAAACACCTAGTGACGATTTTGGAGATGGCGAAGCCATGATGATGAGTCTATAAGGTGACTTTTTTTTGGCATAAACTTGTGTATTACTCAAGCATCAACCTTAAAATCCTCCTTACATAAATCAACGACCTCTAGGGCCGGAGCCCAGCAAGACTACGGTTCTACTTTCAGTTCTTGCAAAACTTGCTAAAACATCACTGAGTACATTTCGACCACAGTTGATATGAGTAATATGAGTCATACGAAGACACTTCAGATACTTGATCACCGCCACCAAAGAAGCATTTTTTTTATTTTATAGTTATACATTGTGCACTAGTATCATATACTCCTTCTTTCTGCTAGATACATCCATTTGAGCGTCAGCTAATCCGGACAAAGTATGTATACAAGAAGTAATTCAAAGGCGAGAGCTGTAATAAAATTTTAGGCCCGATTTTGTTGTTTTTAGTGAGCTCCTTGGAACTCATCTCAGTGCGGAAATTTGCAAGTACTATAAGAGTCTTTCATCTTTGATGCGTACTCTTTTCTATATATATTTTAGTTTATTTGGTGTTTCATTTGAATTTACTATATTGAGGGCGCATATGAGTTCAGGATCAATAAAAGAGTGTTTCTAGCTAGATTACGAGGTTCAAAGTTTGAGTCCTTAGGCTCGTGAACAAAATTATAGGAAATTATTTTAAGATCTCAAGCGACGGTAGAGTTGGTGCAAAACTAGAACGTGGCCCATCCAACCCATCAACAAAACTATCAAGAGGGAGCGAGTACTTGGCGAGAGATGGCCGCCGCCACGTGTCGCGCTCTAGGCGCTCCCTTTTGATTTTGTTTTTTTTATCAATTTTTCCGCACGCGTTTTCGGCTTTTTAAACGGATTTTCCTCTTTTTTTGGCTTTCCACCGATCTTTCTTAGCTTTTGGACAAAAAAGTTGTTTTTTTTTGTTCCGCGAGAGGCATGGTTTCACTACCTCGAGAGACACGGTTTTGCTTTTGTGAGAAGCACGGCCATGCCTCTCGAAAACGGAAAAACGCGTTTTTTCCTTCTGCCAGAGGCATGGTTTTGCTTTCGCGAAAAGCATGGTTGTGCTTTCGCGAGAGGCATGGCTGTACCTCTCGAAAACGAAAAAATGTGTTTTTTTGTTTTTGCCTTTCACGAGAGGCACGGTTTTGCTTTCGCGAGAGGCACGGTTGTGCTTTCACGAGAGGCATAGCCATGCCTCTCAGAAACGGAAAAAAATTATGTTTTCTTTTTTTCCTTCCGTGAGAGGCACGTTAACGAAAAAAACTAATTTTCTGTATTTCTTTCTTTCGTGAGACACACGGTTTTGCTACCGCTGGGGGCACAATTGTGCTTTCGCGAGAGGCATAGTCATGCCTCTTTCGGAAAGAAAAAAATGTGCTCCCGCTTCGATTTTTCTGTCCGTTTTTTTTGTGAAAAAAAGTTTATCAAACCTATCAACATGAGATTTAGTTTTGAAGATCTCGACGTGAGGAATCAAATGGTGAAAGTGGTTCAAGATTTGAACGCATGATTTAAGAGATAAAACGTTTTGAATAAACGAATGTACGAAAAAAGAGAAAAATTTCAAATTTGTGCGCCATTTGGCGCAGCCTGAGAAGATGGGGAGTGACCTTTAAAAGGACTACTCCTTATTTAGTGAATTTGGAGGAGTTCGAGCAAAGCTGCCTTGAAAGCAAATTTGTCAGGTATTCCGTATCTCCTATATCACGCCCGCTGCGTGAAATACTGTGCTTTTGGTACAAAACACATATCCCTTGCAGTAATGGACCGGCCCATGTAAGGTAATTACTTTTTTCGGTATTGAGAATGTTCTTTTACAGAGATTTTGGAAAGTTTTCATCGTTTTTATTTGGTTAAATGGTTTTTGTCTGGTTTTTACATCTTCCTATTTTCTTTGTGTTCATTTTTTTATTTACAGTTCTTGTTATTTTATTATATTTCCATTTTTTATATTTTAAAGTATGTTACCATTTTTTTCTAAGTTAATGAACATTTTCATAATTTTGAATATTTTTATAATTCATGAATGGGTTTTAAAAAGCATCTACATTTTAACTGGATAACGGTTTTAAATTCATGGTCAATTTAAAATTTGTGAGTATTTCCAAAAAAACATTAATTTTTAAAAATTAACATTTATTTAAGTATTAATGAAAATATTTTAAATTTTAAAATAGTTGTTAAAATACCTGAATTTTTTCCCAAACATTATCGAAACCAAAAAAAACGATGGCCGTTTTTTTCCTATAAGCAGCAGTAGTGCCGAGTGAGCCAACCAGCTAGCCAGTCGAGCGAGCGAGCACGCCGTGCTAGTGAGCTTAGTGGGCCGGCCCAGTTTGTGTTAGCGTGGTAATTAGACGCCTGAAGCGTTAAATAGGAGCATCCTTGTTATTATGTACCCTAGCCCCTCTTGGCCTACCAATCAAATTTGTTGTGTTTCGAACACCTGGAATCAGGAGCTTAGTTTTTTTTGACCCGGGGCTCGGCTGATTGGTTCCAGTTTAAAGTACCATGTCGAACTTCCTAGCTTACATGAGAAAATCGAACCAAAAATAATGGAGATGCCAACGCCTTCTATAGATCCGTCCAAGAGCAAACTAGCTTACATGTGATAATCATAGCATAAATAATGAAGATGTCAGCACTAAAATCATATTTAACATGGTTTCAAGGGTTGTCAATTTGGAAATGAATGTCCACGAGTCTAGAGAATTTTTGCTTTGGTTTGTGATTATTCATTATTGTATTCTATCACAACTTATTAAGTGTTGCCAACGAACATGTAAAGAATTGCATAGAAGATGATATTCTTCACGCAACATGGTTGTGCAGGCCTATATCATTATGATAGAATACTCTTTCTTCAATGGTGCCCTTTAATTAAGTGATGTTCTAAAATGTAGTCGAGGTACCTGGTCGTGTTCTATGGATTTCTTGGGATAGAATACTCTTAACAGTATTTTTGTAATCCTATATCATTATGAGTCTTATGACAACTAATGGCCTTCTTGTACAACAAGTTTCAAACAGAGAAACTTGGCATGATTCTTTCTGTCAGGCAAGTTTTGAAGTAGAAACTCAACTATTAATGGAAAATATGACAGAAAAGGAATGAAAGGCAAATTTCGTAGAATGTAACTTAAGAAAACAAGATCTAATAGGTTATCACTAAGAAAAACACCAGATATAAGAAGAAGAAGTGCGAGTGGAATAATGTCATATGGTTCCTATATCATTATGAAAGCTAATACCCTTTTCGTACCTCAAGTTTCAAAAGTTAAAGGGAAATATGGTAGAAATGAAACGAAAGGCAAGTTTGGTGGAACATAACTTAAGTAAACAAGGTCTAGTTGGTTAACACTTAGTAAAAGATCGAATGGAAGAAGAACAAGTGCGGTTGAAACAATGTGATTGCAGTCGTATATGTAACTAATTAAGTCATGATAGAATGACGATTAATGTGCGAGATGGCATATTCGTTCGTACTGCAGTAAGGATGTCGGAAAAAGAGTTGATGAATTTGTAGTCCGAAGAACAGCAATCTGACAGAACAAGAAGAGGTTAATAGTTGGACGAATCTAAAACGAGTTGAATACAAGGATATCTTGACGGAAGAGAATAAAAAGTTGACAAAAGAGAGTGTACCAATTTTTCATGGGAAAAACAATGGCATGAACTGGCTAAGTGATAGAGCGGGACGAACTGATGAGTTCACATCAAGTAAAGCAAAGTAATTGGACAGAATGAAAAAAATAGAGAAAAAAGACAATGAGAGAGTACTCGAACCTTAGAGTGGAACAGTACTGAAACCAAGGAAGAAGACGAACAATTAAGTGGATTGCTCGAACAGGGTTGCAGAATAGAGGTATCTAACAGAACGGGGTTGCAGCATACGCAAAGAAAGATGTACAACAAC